TTACATTAGAGCTTACAGGGATATTTAAAAGCTTGCATTGGGGATGTATTCAATAGACATAAAAATAAGGGATATTCATAAAGCATAAAATATTTCATTTTTTTCTACATGTTTCAAACATTTTTCTGACGGAGGTTTGTTTTAAAACTTTAGGGTGCTCCAGAGTAAGTTTTTTTTTTTTTTTTTTTTTTTTTTTTTTTTTGTAAATTATATAAAGTCATAATGTCTTGCTCTGTGACACAGCTTTGTTCTAAAAATTTTAGGTATTTTTCACAGAGTTCCAGACCCTCACTAAAAGATATTTTCTCACTTCTATTAAATTCACTATCAGTGTCAGTGTCAGTGTCAGAATAGTCTTCTTGCTGTGGCAAATTCAAAACAGAGCCAATGATTTCATCATCAGTCATCTGATATGCCAGCGTTGGCTCATCTGAACACATCATCCATTTAACAATAGCTTCTTGCAAAGCCTCCTCATTTATTTTTTCTTCCGAAAATAAAAGCAATTCTCTTGCTTTAATCCTTGCTGCACTGACCCTAAAACCACAAAAATCACTGTCATCATTCTCAGTTTCAATAAACAGAGAAGATGGCCATACATTATGCCACGCATTTACTAATGTTGTTTGGGAAACAGAATTCTATGATTCAACTAACAAATAAATGCAGTTTTATGTTGGAAATTTTTTTATATAATCACAAAAGTGGAATAGAATGGTCTCTTAAAAGAATTTTTTTCAGAAACTCTGATTTATAGTGGCATTTAATACTGTGTATTATGCCCTGGTCCATTGGTTCGATCAATGATGAAGTATTTGGGGGCAAAAAAAAGGGCCATGATATTATGACATGTTAAAATAGTTGCATCTGGATGTGCAGAGCAGTTGTCTAACAATAGTAAAATCTTGCAATTTGATGGTAATCCCACACTGTTACAATGCCTTCTAGCCTCTTTAATGAAATGCACCATGAACCATTCAGTCATAAGTTGTTTTGTGAACCAGGAATTTCTATTATTCCTGTAAATTACAGGTGAGGATTTTACTCCTTTCAGAGCTCTGGGATCGGTGCTCTTACCCACTACCACTGGTTTACATTTGTAAGTTCCAACTGCATTGCTGCATACTAAAATGGTAACTCTTTCTTTAGCATCTTTCACCCCTGACGGTGCACTTTCTTTGCTTGTCGCAAATGTCTTTCTTGGCAAACATCGCCAAAACAGTCCAGTCTCGTCCATATTAAAAAAACCTGTTCTGGGCTTAGATTTTCTCTTGCCACTAACACAGAAAATTCATCAATAAACTCCTCTGCAGCATCTTTATCTGCTGAAAGTTTTTCATCACATGCTTTCAGATAACGTATACCGTGTCTCTCTCTATTTAAATCTGTTCAGCCAACTGCTGCTGAAATTGCGCGGTTACTCTATTTTTAAATCAGCATGAATCTGCTTCGCCTTTTCTCTCAGGAACGGTCCTGAAATTGGTACCCCATCACTCCGCCGCTACCGGAACCACTCGTACAAGACAGCATCGAGGTTTGCCGATTTCGCCTCATGCAAAGATTTTTGGTTTCGGATTCCAGTGTTAGAATCACTGTTGCTGTAAAATTTCAACAGTTTTATTCGAAACAAGGATCGACACACAGTATATTTTGCACTCAAAATACGTTGTTTGCTTTCGCTTTTCCTTGGTTTTAGCACACACAACACATCTTCTACCTTTATTACCTTTTTCGTCAACGTAAATTTTCGAAAACTGTCTTCCAGTTAGATGGAAAGGTCGAGTGTCCGATGTCTTAGGAGAAATTTTTTAAAGTTTTTAAGTAAGGTCTCTTAGCCATGGCTAGCAGAATGAAACTGAATATAACCCCAACACCATGTCCCAAAACCTCTTCAAAAGACACTCAGAAATATTTCATCCTCAAACCCTGTGTGACATAAGGTTTATATTAGAAAACTTCCTGCTTTTCTAAATCGAAAACGGTGTTCACGATGACCAGAAATTGATCAAGGAATGATCCCCCCCCCACTGGGTGGATATCTGTTACTGATCACGTCCAATATATACATTATATATAATTACATTATATGTAAATACATTATATACCAAAATATAATGAGATCTTTCCTGAGATCTATAGAGATATAATCTTTCCTGAGAAATGCGAGCGAGTAAGATGCATTACGCATCGAGAAAGCTGAGTCTTTTCCCTTCTGTAATAATGTTGTAATGTTACTTTTTAATTAACCAAGAAAGCTAATGTTAAGTTTCAAAATAAATAGAAAAACAAAGAAAAAAAGAAAATCCTAACTAAATAAAGAAAAACACCTGTGCCCCTATAATTGACAGGCGAACTAATAAGGAGTCGAGATTCCTAGTTTATTTCGGTAAATCTATCAAAAACAGAAACTAATGCCACTACATGAAGGTCAAATGCTATATGAATCAAACCATGTGAAAACAGTTACTACTTATCTCCATCTACTGGGTTTTAAGAATTCAAATAAATTGTTCCGTTTTAATGTTACATATACGTGACGCTGGGTTGGTATTAGCAGAATCGTTGCGTCGCATATATGGGACGGTGGGCTGGTAAGAGTGGAATCTTTTCATGCTTATACGTGACACTGGTCCTGAATGGGTTAAGCAAAAGACTCACCATTTGGAATTATCCATATGCATAACATGAAGATGATTTTATTTCCAGTAAAGAGAACAACTCTCTACAAAGACAACTCTTCTGGTAGGTTCATAGTTTTCATGTGCCCTGCAATTAATCAAAATCCAATCTTCCTCAAAGTTAGACACACTGTTCAAAATGTTATACTCCTACTTAAGTTAAAATTCTGAATAAGATCTTTATTTGTTATTTAAATTATTCTCGAATTATTCCTTTATTCCTGAAATAAATGTAATAAAGCTTTGTCTGTTTAAGTTAAGTAGTATTTAGAACATGTTTGATTGTGAGCTACCAGTACATCACTGCAGCGTACTTGATAGCTATTAAAAAAAAAAAAAAATTCTTTTTAAGCTAATATTAAAAATCAATATAATAAATACATGATTATACAGTTAATTCTAATCTTAATTTCACAAGTCATGAGATGAACCCACTCTAGTAATATATTGCTTTATTCCTGAAAGCTGAAACTATTAAGCTGTATCAGGAATTATCCAGAACTGACATAGAAAATTATTCAACTGTATTCATAGAATATTTCATCAGATACACAAGTTCAAAGTGTTGTCTTTAAGAGTACTGCTTAAATTGCAGAATCTATTTGAATTTTTGCCTCAAAAGGAAATTACATCTTCGACATTATAAAAATATTCATCATTAATAAAATAAAAATATTCATCATATAAAATATTCATATGTAATGCATAAATTATTAATAACTGAAACAAGCATCATATAATTCTGGTTTATCTTGTAGAGTTAAAAAAAAAAAAAAGTAGTTTTAAATAAGTAGGTATCAAATAACATGAAATTATTAAATGTTTATTGAGTTCAGTAATAATCATATAAATACATAATAATATGATGTAAAATACTGTTATTCACGCTATATTGTAGAATATTTTGCACAAAGAAGTTAGAGAAATTCAAAGATAGATCATCTTAACTTGCAGAAAAACGTAAAATAATCTTCTGAACTATAAGTCAGAAGTGGGTGCTATCGAGGGATGACTCACTTGTTAGGGAGCAGTTAGAAGTGATTTGGAAGGAGAGAATATTGCAAGAGGAAGGTTAATGGGGGACCTGGCAATGGAAGAAGGAATTTTTGGGTGAAAGAGCATGGCCACGGGTTATTTCAATGTAGATGATGTGTAGGAGTGAAAAGAATTGTTTTCCAGCACTTTCTGATCATGACTCTGGCGATAGGGAACAAAAAATTTACTCTTTCTCATAAATAGTATCATGAATTCATTGCACTTCGTAGAGAGAAAAAGCCTTTGACATATGGCTGGGGGCTTTTCTATTCTCTCAACTTGATCATCAAAGGGGTTGTTTCCAAGAGAAAGACAGACATGCATCCAGTGAAAAGTGGGTTTTAAGTTAGGTTTATTATTCCAAATCTTGTAATTATTGGGACTTTATATTTTAGAAGCTTGCAATAGACTTAGTTTTCAGTAATAAAATTATTTACATGCAAAAGAAGTTTTATTGAATTGAAATTAAATAATAAAAAAATCAATTTTGCTGATTTATTCCTTATTTCTAAAATTTCAAGAAACACCTTAAAACAACTTATGCAATTATTTATGAAATTTTGTACCCTGATAAAATTACATTCCTAACTATAATTCCTGATGTGATATATTTAAAAAAATTGCTATGAACAATTTCATAAATAGTAGTTTTTATTTATTTATAAAAATTGTGTGAGAGGATTTCACGCAGATAAATATTAGAGCGATATATTATAAATATGAATAAGCAAATTTTATGACTTCAAGGTATGGGTATTAGATAAATTATATTGTAAAGATTTCATTCGTATCATAAAACAAGATGTAACAAGTGTGAATAAGCAAATTTCATAACATCAGGAAGTGGATTTTTCTCTCTTAATATGACATTTGCATTTAAATTATTAATGTGTACATTAATATGATACCCTTCTTATACAATAAATATTTCTATTGCTGTGTTATGTATTAACAAAGTATGTCTGTTAATTTATTATACTTTGTACTTTAGCTTAGCCTGAATGTGTGTAATTCATTTTGTTATGAAAATTTACATGAAGCTTTTTAGTTATATGGTGAATATTTGTGTAATTAAAACTAGGCAGAGGTTTCCATTTTGCCATCACTGAAATTGCCTGTATTTCAAAGGCAAGTCTATTTCCCTTTACTTCGTACTTTTGTGTAAAAAAAGTTGATTAGATTACTGCAAAGTTGGCAATGAAATGATTCAGAGGTATGAAAAAGTTTGCATCATGTATGTAAGAGCATTCACTTTAACATAAATTATAAATTATCTTTTATGATATTATATAACATAAATTTATGAAGTCTTTTTTTTTTTTTTTTTTTCTTTTTCTTTTAGTGGCTAAGAAAAAATCTTTGTTTGATGATCAGCCAGTTGAAGTTCAAGAACTGATATATATTATCAAGCAAGACATAACAAGTTTGAATAAGCAAATTTCACAGCTTCAAGAAGTAAGTATATTTTGGCCATAAATGTATTTGATATTAGTGTATAACTGTTTATAGTATGTTATTGATATTTATGTTAATGAGATCTATTTCAGGGAATAAATGCTGTTTTGTATTATAGCTGAAACTGGTTATATTTGCATTCAGAAAAACATGTATGGATTCTAAGTTTTTTCCCTTCCTTAGCTTTCTAAAGCCAGAAATAATAATCATGGCAGGCATATGCAGTCACACTCAAATTCTGTTGTAGTATCATTGCAATCAAAATTGGCATCGATGTCTAATGACTTCCGACATGTTTTGGAAGTAAGGACACAAGTATGTATCTTTCTTTCTTTCGCCCCCCCCCCATTGTGTCTGAAAAATGTTACAGACTCCTATTTTTTTTTTTTTTTTTTTTTTTTTATTATTTGCTAGAACCTGAAGCATCAAAAACAGAGGAGAGAACAGTTTACTGATGGTCCAGTATCAGCTACACTTCCTGCTTCTGCACTGTCTGGTCATACAGGAAGCATTTTATTATCTGATGATTATAATTATGGAGAGAAAGAAATTGCTGTTAACATGGATGGCATTAATCAACAGCAGATGCAACTTATTGATGAACAAGTAAATTGTTTAAATTATATCTGAGATTAAAATTATGAATTTGGGATGTGTACATATTAGCACCACCCTCTTTCTTAGCTGAAGGGGCCAAATTGTCAGAATACACCAGCAACTGCGTGCATAACGGTTCTTTAGTTTTAAGTAGCAATGTCTGTATTTTCACACTTTTTTAAATGTATTCCAAGTTCCAACATATATTATTATCAAATAGTCATAGTTTTCTCTTAAACTGATTTTAAATGCTTGCTTGTAGGATTTGCCAGCAAGGTAAGAAACTTCAATACATTTTCTGTAGGAATATGATATTTTCTTGCAAAAGTTCTAAAGGGAATAGTGACACTTTGAATTTACTCTATAGAGTTTTACTTGATCTAGTAGAAGTGAAATCAGTCCTAAACCCCTAGCAGACCTGCAACGAATTTTCTCTGTCTGAAACGAATGTCTGAAAGTAACCACAGAGGCTTGGAAAGGTTTAAAATAAGCCTTTTTATTTAAGCATGAACTAAATGCATGTTCTTTTACTAACAAAGTCAATTACAAGTCATATCTATACATCTAAAGTAATGGTCAAATTCTAATTTAAAATGTAGAATAATCATCAAAGGTGACATAGTTAAAGTTAAATCTAAACTGACACAGAACTTTTAACCAGTGTATTAAATTCAAATATCAGCAGCAATAATGCGAAGCTGAATAATTGCAAACTTGTAAGAGCTGGCAGGAAGTAATGTAACATGCAATGAAAGGCAGAAACACATTCTGTGTTATAACCCAAAAACTTATCTTAAGTGTCATCTAACTGATTTGTATTTTAGTGAGGAAACTAAAAGTAGTAAAGATTGAAATCATAAGTAACTGGTTAGTTTCAAATAATAACCTTATAGTTCCCCTTCTCAGAATTTTAAGTAATCACAATAAAGGGCTTTAACGATCTTGCTAAGTTTTTAAATTCTGAACTACACAAAAGTGTAAAACTAAATTTAAAACTTTTACAGAAAAATCACTTCCTGGAGATAATTTCATGTCATCACAACACTAATCTCTCATCTCCTTCTGCGCATCTTGAAGGAAACATATTTTAGCAAATATATCTTTCACATTTTATTGATTTTCAACTTCATCAAAACCTTTCAGACAGCTTTGCAGTTTCTCTGCAATTAATATCCCGTCTCTGTTGTCCAGTATTGTAATATATGCAAGAGTGTGTTTGCAGTTGTACAACGTATTCCACACAACCTCCTAACTAAAATCCTACATGTTGATCACTTAGACACATTAGACCTCAACCAACAGCTTACTTCAACACTGTACCTAATGTGCTAGACTTAAAATTTGATTACAACTTTTGTGTTGGTTGAAGAACATAGCTTTTAACTACTTACATTCACTGCGCTAACTTTAACTTACTATCCAGTTACTTGTAATTAATTTTATCAGATACAGACAATTTAACTTTTACAAAGCAATTAACGTAATATTTTAACGTTTACAAAACAATTAACATTGTGATGTTTCTCCCTTTTATTCTATTAAACTAAGTGTTGAGAAGGCTAGTGAACAGCTAAGTGAATAATTGCTTAAGTCCAAGAACAGAAACATAAACTCAAGAAGGGTTAAGTACTTTTTATTTGCTCCAAATAAAGATGAACAGTTGGCCCCTTTCTCAGGGCATACAATAATGCCTCCACTTGGGCTTAAACAAAAGAATGTAAGAAATAAGAACTTGACTAATGACTAACTTAAGGGATTTAGCTAAAGCTAACACAAATTTTAACCTAGTTGGCCCGTAATATTAAATTAGCTAGCAAAGCTATCAAAAGGCACGTAATAGGGCTGAGCGTATTAACTGTTAGGGAGACGTAGCCAGAAGGCAAACACATACCATTCAAGAATCCTAACTCTCTCTCTCGAAATCAGTGAAACTTTGACTTAAATACTACTCTGCTTCTCATTTGCATACTTGCCAACCTATGACACTCAAAAATCAGAAGATTTTTCACAATGTTAAAAAGACTTTTTAAATAAAAATATAGTTTTTAATAATGAATTAACTTTTAATAGTTACTAAGTCTTAAATGCAAGCAAACAAAAATACCTTAGACATAAAAAACAATTTTATTACTTGCTTCGTTTAAAAAAAATAAATAAATAAAGACACCTTAATCAGTTTTCATACAAATGTTACGAACAGTGGCATATTTTGCCTTCGTTAAGAAAGAAACTTCATAATTTTGTTCATAGCAATTGCCACGTAGGCCTGCTTTTGCTAATTAAAGTTTTTCTAATGTGTCATCACTCATATTAGATCTAAATTTAATCCTCGTTTTCGCAACAACACTGAAAATCCTCTCACACTCCGCATTACTATGGGGAACTGTCAAGATGGCCAACATAATTCTAGACAGTTCACTATATTTTAAAATTCCATCAGCACCTTTCAGTTTTCCAATTAAACTCCACTATGTGTCAATCCTAGCTGATTTCATAACTTCATCCAAGTTTTCTAATTGTAAACTGCAAAATTGCGACTGCAGTATATCAGTAGCAACATCAATATCATCATCTTTCATGACTAAACGAAGTAACACAGGAAATCTGTTCAAAAAGTACCTTATATCAGAAAAAGATGCATTTGCTAGAGCAGAAACATCACAAACTTTAGCATGCAAAATCACTTCATCGTTGACTGGAAATTTATGTAGTATGTAATCACATACTCGACAGAAGTAACTTCTAACATGAAGATAAAACTTATTTTTGTCTTCTTCTGAAAGTTCTTCCACTACTTTTGTAGTTGCAGCTCCTATTACCAAATCTTCATCTTTCTTTTGATTTTCTATTTCACCTTAAATCACATCATGTATAGAATTACAAGACAAAACACAGACTGGTTTTACAAACTTTGATAAAATGTCTTTAAACAGATCATAAATAATTGATTGCAAAACATGAATTAATGGAATTTTGCTTTGTAGAATTGTGTTAAGAACATCAAATGATGGCAAAATGAATTGTAAAAAAAAAGCAAAAAGCTTTGTTAAGGTGTGAAGAAAAAAATATAAATATTCGTTCTTCACAAGATAAACTTACAGTAATCGGAAAATGTTTCATGTGTTGAGCAATTTTTTTTTTTATTTTGAAAAATTTTGTATCAGCTTTACGCTTATATTTTGCAGTATTATTTTGAGAACTGCCAGTTGAATTGCTGAATGATGCAGAAATTACTTTATTTTTCTCAACCTATTTTTAACAAATGGAAGTAGTAACTACATCTCCATTTACTTTAGGTACTTTATAACTTTCAATAGAGCCTTTTATCTTAACTCTCGAAGCATTTACTTCTTCTTTAAAAAATGCAGGAAGTGGGTTCCATTAATCGAGGATTCTAGATAAGCATTTCTTTAAAGACAGCTAGCGTGTACATACAAGTTTCAAAATTTTTCTCATTTCAGTATTATGCAGCTGTTGGAACTGTTTCAATTTTTCCTTTCTTTTAGAACACCTTTCAAGATAATATTAAATACCAACAATGTGTTCATCCACATTTATTGGTAAAGAAGCTAAGCCCTTTTTCAGCTGCTAAATTTAAGAGGTGACAGGTGCAACCTCATAATCTGCACATCTGAATTTTCCGTTTCTGAAGATGCCTGCAACACCAGTCTTGAAGCCTACCAATACTGGTATATTATCGGCACCAAGTGCTAAGCAATTATCCAGAGGGACCTGCATTTTCTTCTAAAGTTTTAATAATTAGCTGTGGTATATTAAAGCCTGTCCAATGTCCTTCTAAAGTGAGGACAGAAAGTAAACTGCACTCAGTTTCTGAAGACTCTGGATTAAAAAACAAACAACAATTGGATACAGTTTTGAATTGGTATTATGCTTCCCTCCATAGAGAGGCATAACGGAGCTGTTTAAATGCAATCAATAACTGAAGATTTATTTTTCAAACCCATTTCTTTAACAATTGCACCTATTTTGGTCCTTGCACTTGAGTATTTCTTAGCGATTTCACTATCGGGAAACATTTTTCTAAATAAAGCTGCAGCGCAATCCGATGCATTCAGTGGCAGGTTGTGCTCCAGTAAAAAGGCAGAGAACAGACGTTCTGCATTAATGACTTTTTGGTCTTTTGTTTCCGAAGAAAAATTTAATTTTTTGTTTTTTTTTTTTCAAAACACCTTATGTTGTCCTTGTGTTTTTGTGTACGCACATGTTTGAGAACATTCGCCCTTCCACTATGCAAAATCGAAAAATTGCAATGACAGGCGGTACACATCGCAAACATCACATCCAGAGGAGTAGGGACGACTTGCAGAAATTTAACATTGGTTGCCTATTGCAGCATGTATAATTGTCAAGAAAAAGCTGGTTGTAGTGCCATAATAATTAATTTTGCTTGTATTTTATAGTGATTTTAAATTTATTTTTAGTTTTGCATAAGATTTTTTTTATTATTTACTGTTAATTTAATTTATTAGCTTAAAGGGGCGGTAGCCTAGAAGGCTTTTTTAGTTTCGAAGCGGCATTTTGCGCTGTTTTACTATAAATGTCCGTGTCTCTTGCAAATTGTTGTTACCAAATATTATCGCCCTGTATTATATGTAAAGAAATTAAGTAATGTAGAATCTGCATGAATACATGTAAGTTTCTTGCACTGTGACAAAAACGACGGTTTCTAGAGCCATCAAATTTTGAATTATGTAATCCTCCACCCGAACATGGGCACGCCGAATTTCGAATTTGTTTTAATCTATTTCCTATTTTGTAAAACTTTAACGAATTTTTGATTAACAAACTCAAGGAGTTCAGAGAGAGCACTGTACGGAAAATAACAGTTTTATCTCCAGTGCGGAAATTCTAAAGATATGCTGTTTTCAAATGTATGTGGTTTACAGGCGAAGAACATGATATTTAATAAATATAGGTAACACACAAAACGTTAAAAAAAGGTTTCTTTTGGGCATAATGTAATATCTTAATGCTTCTAGATTTTATTT